GACTAGTCCTATTTATCGACATTGGCCGATATGTTCAATATACTAAATTCGGACTTGAATTTTAATTTAAATACAAAGAAAATTAACTACAAATATTTTCTTGAAATGTTAAATCAATAAAAAAACTTTACTGACATATAGCACCGCTTCACTATATAATATACGGGATTTGCATCCGAGTCATACGCCTTCTCGCAGAAAATAATTTATGACTTAGTTGCACATTTTAAGCACACTTTTTTTCATATATAAACATACTTAGAAAGTCCCATGTAGTAACAGCGTAAAAAAATTGCCTTTGAATTGATTAATAGAACAGTTCTAACCGCAATTATTGACGTTATGAATCTTTTTCTGATCCATATTACATATCTAATGAGCAAGAAAGAATAGAAAAATGCTAAAATGAAAAACGTTACCGTAACCTCTGATATATTACAGTGTCTTTATCAGTTAGAGAAGTAACATATTAGTAATCTTAATTCTAGCTTACCTCTAGAGAATGTGAGTTTTTTAATGAGAAATATTACGAATGCCGAAAAGTCCACTAAGTCACTATTCAAACGTTTACCAAAGCAAATTTAAAAGGAATGGCAGTATGCAAGCAAAAAGTTGTAGCTTGAATTGAAGACTTGTGGGTCTATACAACTGATTGCACTCATAATAACCGGAAAGTGTATTAAAATACTCTAGGAATGCTTTGTAAGTCATGAACCGCCATTATCATGAAGGTGAGTTCCATTAAACGAAACAAAAACTTAACAATCGAAATACTGTATATAAGCATTATGATGCTTAAGAGTAGATGAGAACACTTCTATAGTGCCGTAAAAAACATTAGTAAAGATAGTAATATATGTATAGACTATATTAAGTATACCTTTTGCAACACACAAGAAGCATATTTGTGTTGCCTTAAGTAATATTAATTATGCAGAGCTACTTCTTCTATCCAAGTAGTGCATGGACTACTTTTAGAAGCGCTGAAGATAATACACTTTCTGCAAACAAAATCCATGTTCTGTGAAGGAGATAAGTGGATCTAGTGTTAATGACTACGTTAAATGCATATGAAATAAAAATATATGGAAGAGTTAAATAGGTTACAAATGAACAGGTTACCACTATAAAGTGTCGAAAGACAATGTAACTCAGTCATATTCTGAAGCCTCAAACAGATTCATTTTATTTTAGTAGGTGCAATTGAAAGAAAACGTATAATTGAGAAGAAGCAAACATTGTGGCTAAGTGATCCCAGTTATTGGACGAGTATTAGGAATACAACTAATCTATGGAACCTGACTCGCATCCAGCATTCACTTAAGATAAATTCGTAGAGTAAACTGTCCAATAACATAACCTTATTTTATTTGTATAGTAAAATCATCTGAATTATATTAGAAACGCTTAATTCTTAGTTTATATATATGTTTTATATAGTTGTTCCATCAACATCACTCATGTATTTAACCACTTTGTATGTTTTAATTTTACATGATGTAGAAAGCAAATGGAGATATTTGCGAACAAGTGTACTGACTTATAAGATGCACGTACTAATTAATATAGAATTTCTTATTATAGTACATAAAAGTAACTAATTATAATTTAAATTTATTAATTAAGAGAGAACTTTTAAATATAAGAGAAGTAAAGTGTAATCCCAATGATAATTACATAGTTTTTCTTTCAGTATATTTAAATACTCACATCGCTCCAATGCTCTGAAAAACTTAATTATATATATATATTTATTAATTATTCATAAATTTATAATTATTTATTCATAAATGCTATTACCTACAAAAGACGGAACAAAAAAATAATAATAATATAAATATGTAAGTGCCGGAGCCACACGTCAATCTCGACGACCAAGTGTCATTTATCACCTCAGAGGATTCACTACTACTAAACAAGCAGCAGGAACTCTCCTAGCCAAGTGCTAAAGAGTTTCTAGTCACGCATAAATACGTGTATTCCCAATGTGTGCCCTAACTGCAGTTCTACTCCCCATAATGCCGCCCATCTGTTTTTCTGTCCTTTTGCATATACAAATCTTCGTTCAATTGACCTGTAAACCCACCCCATTCAAGTGGCCAGGTTCCTTTGGCTGGATCCAGGTTAACGTTCAATTATATCCCACCCCCTCCATCATCCCTAACCACTATCCACCTACTTTCTTACCTATGTAATCGTCTTGAACATCCTTTCATGTTAACTGTTTACAGATCTTAGGTATAAAACAATTATCATATATAGTTGTATAAAGTAATTAATTTAATTAAATAATTAATTTAATTATTTAATTTAGTTTAAACACGTTTGTAAATTAAATAATGTTTAAAATAAAATTTTTAATTTCAATATTTATTTTTTTAAAATTTGTTACTACCAAATGGTTGCTTAATTTAAAATAATAAACAAATTATTATTAAACGCACACAACAATAACAAGATATTTGTGTTTTTTGTTTTAGTAATGTGTTTAAGAACAATATAAATATATATTTAATATCTTATCCTTTGCCTTATTTAAAAGTACATAAAAATACAATTCAAAAAATAGTCGAGATAAAAATTTTAAAAATTCAAAAATATTTTAAAGTTGACCAACTTTGTTGAATACAAATATATACACATATATATATATTATATACTTTTTATTTATCATTTATCCAGTCTAAGAGAACTATTAACTAAATAGCTTTCAGCTTGCTAGGCCTAGTTTTACATAAACAATTACATTGCTAAAGTAATTTAGTAGAATTTTAATAATTTGCCACTTGAAATATCAATATTAAGTATTTACTTGCATTACTTGCATCAGGCAGATAAACAAGATTTATTATTTATTATTTAATATTATAATATTAAATTAATTAATATCTTGAATCAACTAGCATAATATATAAATATAATAACCTTATATTAATTATGACCTCTCATCATTATATATAATTGTAGTTATATATTTTTCAACACACAAATTATAAAATGATTTTTTTAACAATAACAACGATTATCATTATATGTTATCATATATGTTTATATGATATATACAGATTTTATTTTAAAGCAATTATAGCATTTTCTTAAACTTGTAATTTCTTTTTGTATTTTAAATAATTAAAAGTGTCTAGTTTATTTTTAGTTGTTATAGATAATATTGCTCTTTCTGCATTATGTAAATGTGAATAGCTTCTTAATAATTAATTGGATATAAGAATTTTATATAATTTATTGGACAATATGGACAAAGGATCTTACTTGTTTTTAAGTTATAAAGAAATGCTTTTCTATTATGTTTTTACATTAGTTTAACTAATGAGCTCACACTGTATTTGAGCTTTTATGTTTTTGTAAATATATTTCATTGTTTCAGTTGATATGCTTTAAATAATATTTAAAACTACTTTTTCATTTAACTTGGAATTTAATATTATTTTTTAAAATGAAAATTTTATTATTCTTATTACATAGGAAAATTGTACAAATTTTTCACAAAGATTTTCGTGTTACAATATTTTTAAAAAATATATTTGTGTGTTTTAGAACAAATTGAATAATTTTTATTTGTTTCACAAAGGATTTAAAATTTGTAATTATTCAATTTTTAGTGTATGCTTTGCACAACATATTATATTTTATATATATATTTCAGCATATACGTAGTGCAAATGTAGAGTTCAAAGTTTGTAACTAATATCCAAAATATGTCAAGATATATCATTAGATAAACATCAGTGCCATTACACATCAGTTTCAGGTAAAAATAAATTTGTTTTTTATTTCATTGATGACAAAATGTATATATGCCTATATAATCAAAATAATGTAATTATATATATATAATTAAATAAATGTGGTATCACACAAATCGCATGTACTGCTTATATACTACAAATTTGTAATTTTATATACATATCATTATATTATATGCATTTCAAAATATCAGTACTGTAAATGTTAAGGTGTGTATATCAAAACCACATATGTATGGCAACATACTTAATTTTATATGTTAAATTTAATGTTGTATTGGTGGCATAAATAAAATAAAATAGTTGTTAAATTATTATTTTTAGTTAAGATAATGTAGATCAAATGCACTACTATATGCTCAATATGAAAGATATTTAATTTTCAATATAGATGATATGACACATATCATATGTACTACATACATATGCAATTTTATATATTTATTATCATGATATGCATTTAAATGTCATTATAATATATGTATTTACGGAATAAGTTATTGCGCTGAAATATAGCAAACGCTTCTATGCACATATGCATTATAACATATTTAATTTATATGTATAAAATGTTAATGTCAGCTGTTATTATTTGTAGTATATGCACTACTATATATATAATAAATTATAGTGCAAATCTAAAACATTAAACATTGTATACATATCAAAGTTAAATGTTGTCTTGTATATCACATGCATAGCAACAATAAATTATATACATATTAAATATGACATGTAAACGGCATTATTTGTATCATATACATTTAAAAACAAATACTCAAAAAAAGTATATTATACACTTTTATTACAATATATAATGCATGTAAATATATATGTGCATGTCCACTACAAGTATTTAAAATATTTCATACATACAGAATATATGTAGAAATATAGATATTTGATGACAATATAAGTCGTAATGTTTTGAAACATCTTATACAAATAAAATACATATTGTAATATATTAAGTCATAATGACTGTTGCAAATAATGAATTAAATTGATTGTTGCAATTATTAAATGAAAAAAAGAAACTCATAAATTATAAAAGTTATTTAAATATTCACAATATCGAGTCATAAGCAAAGTAACAAACATGAAGTATTCATTATGTTTTCAAATTAAACTAATATACACGCACATATATATTACATTATATATTGCATGTGTCACAGGTAGATGACATAGATAGAAAATTAACATCTTATGTTTCATATATATATATATATATATAATATGTTATGCAAATTCATTAATTATAATAATCATTAAATTTTTTTTTTGTGATTTTTGAAGTGTTCATCCTTTTTGTTATTTCACAGCTCTTTTAATATAAAAATAATTTGTGTTAAATAGTTTACTAAATGAATGTGTGTACGTGGGTGACTGCGTGTGGGTGTGTGTGTGTGTGTAATAGTTTTATATGCGTTTGTGTGTAAAGTTGATGGAAGGAGAGATTTGTGATTTTACTGGATGGTGTGGTTAACATGATCAAGCAAATCCTCCTTGTGATCGGAAACATTTGGTCTTGATTCATAAGTGCAAATGGTGACGCCATGTTGGTGTGCCTCAGTGAATTCACCACGCAATCCTTTTTGTAAAAAAATATATATTAATATTATAAATTGTTTTTATTTTTAATTTAAAGAATTCACATACCAATATAGTGCAAGCGAGTAACATCACTACCATAATTGGTTGGTATATGTATAGATAAATGATGAACCGATGAGAATAAGACAATTCTGTAAGTAAAAATTAAATTGTTCAACAAATTATTATCGTAAATAATATACTTTATATATAAACATATATAAAAAGATTGAAAATTGTATTATTAAAAAAAAAATAATTTTTTCTAAATACCATAGAGTTGATTTTAATAAAGAACTGTACTTTATATGCCATATGGTATATATAAATATAGACTTACTTAGGACCATATTCCACCTCACACTTTGGATCATGCACCAATTCGAACTCTTGATCTGCCTTAGAACCAACCTCATCAAAAGTCATGTTTGGGCGATTCTTAAACCTATGATATTGAAAATTCTTAATATATATATATAAAAATAAATAAACTTGCGAAACTTACAGGCGCATTTTTTTAGGATGAGTATCATCACAAGGGCCACCAATAATAATGCCCTTCAATTTAACATTTCCAGTGAACGGAATATTAAATAGCAGCTCCTCATCACCATCACTTTGAACAAACTGCAAATATGTCATTATAAACCATAAATATCAACAATTAAAGAAGAATAGGAAAAAAATATAAACGTAAAATAGTAAAAAGTTGGAATAGCAAAAAAAGCTATCATCGATTTAAAGATCTTTTTACATAATCTTAAATAATTTTAATAAACTTTTGGAAAAAGATTCACATAAACAGTCTCATAGGGATGCGACCTTCAACGCCGGCCGGCGGTCGATTGACTTATATATTTACGTATAACTCTAATTTACTTACAGTGGAAACGTCGTTGCGGTTTTCAAACGGTTTGAATACATGGCGGCCACTACCGTCGATCTCTTCGTTGAGGCACACGACGTTATCCATATCTATCTTAGTGTAAAGGCTGTATTGTATGCCGCGGTTGTACGGGTCCTCATCATCATGAGTGGCTTCATGGCCGCATGGACTGCCGTGTTGATGATCGTGTGGCATGGTCGCAAACAAATACACAACTTCGTAAAACACAGAAAAAACTACAAACTTTCCGATAAAGAAAATTTGCACAAGCAAAATATCACACAGCGACTAAATCTTGCTGTTTCACTGTTGATGTAGACACCTCTTCACTTTTTTTTGTTTTTCAGCTGTCAATTGTTATTTTGACAGCCGCAGAAAAGATAAATGCTGCCAAGTCACAAATTGTTGCGGAGCTCCGGTTAAACTGTGTAGTAATTTTAGGTAAGAAATGAGTTCTTTAATGCGTTTGGCTTGGTTAAGAAAATTACTTGACCACTCACTGTAGTATTTTCTGTTAATATAAATCAAATAATTTTTTTAAGTGAAATTTAATAAAACCATAAGCTGCTTATTTATAAAAGTTATAGAACAAGTTTTTATTAAATGTTATATTATGTATATGAAAATACTTGTTTCGTTAATTATGTACACGAACCTCAATCAATCACAATAGTACAGTGCGAATTGCAACAACAAGTGAACGAAACTTTATTAGTTGCTTTGGATGGAGTGAAAATGGAAAAAAAATTAATTTAAAATTATTTGAAGAATATATATTTTATTAATGTTGCTGCATATATTATATATATATATATATATATATATGTATATATAATATAATATATAATACAATAAATTAATTTTTTATTATTGCATTAAGTTAACAATATGGATATATTATAATCATATCACTATTTATATTAATAAATGAATTTATGTAGTTTAATGTTTATTGTTAAGTATTAATCGGTATTTATTATAGACCTAAGCTTATTTAAAACTATTAATAACAAAAACTTTTTCCTCTGTGTATGGCAATAATATAACTAGCAAATAAGTGAATAATTATAGCTGATTGTTATGTATATAATTAAAATATATAGAAAAAAGCAAAAAGCAACATGTACATACTTTTTTGTTTACTTTCTTTTTAAATTTTATTTTTAATTAAATATTTAATAAATTAATTTCGCCTTAAAATATGCAATGGAAAAATTTGTAATAATTTTCGTTAAAGCTAGACGACATTTTAGAAATAAAGCCGTGTGCGAGTTCGATTAAATTGAGATAAATTAAATTGAAATTCTTAGGGAGTTTTTGCACTTATGTAAATATTTATTTATTTTTTTATTTATTGCACTTATTTATTATTTTTTTGTTAAAAATTTTTAAATTTATTTATTTATTTATTAAACATCTTATAAAATTTTTACAATGTTAACACATAATTTAATATCTAATTTACCCTACTCGAAATTGTGGTAAATACCAATATTCGTTGCCATACCCACATAATTAACTATTTCCCTCAAGTTACCGTCAATTTACTTGAACTCGCACGCGATCTAAATAATTATTACAAACACAAAACAACAATTTAATATAAATATAATTAAAGTAAATTAAATAACAAATTAATAAATTAATATTAAAAAAGTGTAAAGACTTATTTTGCATAAATATGAGAGCTGCATTTAAACTAGTATTGGCAGGTTTCAAGGACGACAGGAAATATGTCTCAGAGCCACTTTTCGATTTCGACGACTAAGTACCGCTCACCGCACCCCAATTGGACTGGGCGAGCAGATCCCACGGACTACAACAACAACAACAACAACAACAACTATGTACTGGTTTTAAAATGGTGAAAAGTCGGTAAGCGATCAATAATGTAAATTTCGATCAGTGATATTATAGCACTCAGTAAGGAGTGTTCGAATGAAAGACAAAGTCTCAGTAGTTCCATTAAAGAAATCGAAAAAAAGTAGTTACACATATGGACTATAAATTTTTATTTCTAGTAAGACAAAGACGGTATCATAAGTTCTTGTCAAATTGGGTAGATCACGCTTTGAAATGTTATACTCAGTCAGTTTTTTGCTCTCGGGGCCTCTACTTTATTCTAAATTTTCAAACAAATACTTTTTTGAAAACATTGGACAAATTGGCTTAGAAATGTTATAAAATCATTGAAACAATTGTGTTGCACTCTAGGGAACCATATTGATAAATAAATGGAATGGGATTTTAGGCACTGAAGTGGTTTTTTAATATAGCTGCTCAATCTAATTGACTTTTAAATAGCGGTGAGAGGTGGTATATATTCGCCAACAAGTATCAGCTCCAGATAAGATTTGCCAACTGCAGTCGTCGCTGCCTTTTATAAAATGACCGAGAATATAAGAAATCGGAAATGTGAGTACCTGGCCGTATTCAATGTAGGGCTAGAGTTAATATCACTGAAACAGTTTGCACAATAGATACCCTGGGCTTCATGCAGTATATGAAATAAAGAAATTAAGATGAAGCTGTGATAATTGATATCCGACTAATTTCAATAGAAATCATTTGTTATCGTCATATACTTCTTTCGAGAGTTTAAAAGATGAAATATGTCTATCAACAAGCGAGGAAATTATGAGAGTGTAATGTATAAAATAATAGAACAAGATCGGTTTTAAAAATATCTAAACGCGCTTCCCGAATGTTGAGGATATTAAAGAGAAACTTTTAAAAGAAAATAACTGTAATCAGTTATCAGTGATGAACATGATATATATTCATATTCTCTGAATAGGTGAAGACACTTGGCCAAAAAGATTTTCACTTTCATTCCAGAGAAATATTCTTTAACTATGACTGAGATCAAGCTTATTAATTGATGTTTAATAATATTCTAGGTTCATTGCAAAATTCACTGTATATTGAAATTAAACATCTCAGGAGACCATTACTGGTGTATCATAATGCTAACCATTGAACCATTGAATGCACCATGCTACGATATGCACCATGCGGGTATAAATACAGATTCAAAAGGTCAATCTTCGCTTTCTTTGATAACGGTCAGCATTTGCAAGAACTAGGTCCAGATTGTTGAGTTATAATGTCCTGCTTTTCTTAGATTGCTTAGTGTAGACATTTCAGATAGCTAGAGATTTGGAATAGCTAGAGAATAGTTTCTATTGTTAATATAGAACATAATATAGTATTTTTTTTCCACTATTGAAAATAAAACAATTTAAAAAATTTTTGACTATTGCATTTGATTATTATTATTATTGTTGCAGTCCAAAATAAAGAGACATCTATTGAATGGATTAAAACTTCTTAATTTTTTATGATTTTAGAAATTTGTTGAAATTTTTAAAATCAGAAAAAAATAAGAAAAAGTTAACGTTTTAATATTGTATTGTATGTTCATGTGATGTTTGAATGATCCTCCTTTTTTTTAATTATAGCATGTACTGCGCACTGGGCACCATGGTGACAACGGTGGAGGACAGGGCAGATAATTGTCTTCCACAAAAGATATACTCTTAGGCGCACCAAACAAAGAACATTTTGGAACGAACACAGTTTTTTGGGCCTTGGCACGCCCATAGCTGCAATATACATCAACGTCTGATTTGCAAGTTGGTGTTTTTAACTTAGGGCGTGGAGCAGGCGATTTCGGTGGTGGATAGCAACAGTTATAACTTGGATAGCATGGCATCGACATTGGAGGAGAACATGGCATCGACATGGGACTGGAACATGGCACCGACATGGGACTGGAACATGACATCGGTTCACACATTCCTTCACAACCATTATAACCGTTACAATTGTTGCTACCGTTGAAACAACAGCCTCCGTCTCCTCCAAGCACTAGATCATCGGGAACTTCACAAACGACTCGGCTATAAATTAAAATATATATATTGAATATGATTCCAAAATATTTTTTGTTAAGAAGTACTTACGCCATTATTTTCAAAGTATATTTGTCAGATAAGTACCAAGGAGAGGTGGAGCAGTTACATGAAAATTTTGTTGCTATGAGTATTTGTAACTGATGGATGGGATAAAATTTCTTAATGAAAAAACATATTTTTTATATATTCTTAACAGGTCAGATATTTGTATAATGCCTACTGAGCTATGTGAGGTTTATGAAGAGTTGTCGGGTATGCATCGTGTAAATTTAAATATAGTAAACACAGTTAAATTATGGAATGCTTAAAAGAGATCCATTTAATATTAATACTCGTAACACCCAACTAAATTTTGTGATGAATGTTTTTGTCTAAGTCGTAGGAAATCTTCGAAGTACACCAGCCACAAACGATTCTCCCTTCGTTTCTTTTTGATTATTTATTTTGTATTGCACCAGTTTAATCCACAAAAGGCTTGAGGGCCAGTAAAAGCAATTTTTGATGCAGTTCTGACGAGCTCATCAGCTTGTTCATTTTCCAAAATTTCCCTGTGACCCGGAACCTAATAAAGACTTACCTTATTCCAAGTTGCAAGTATTGTAGAAGCTCATAACACTCGAGAATATGTTTCGACTTACAAACTTTGTCCAAGAAGACAGAGTTAAAGAAGCAGCCTGACTGTCAGAGTAAATATTGGATCTTACACATAAGTTGATTGCGGCCATTTGCTCACTGCCTTCGAAATTCAGATGTTGAGTCCGTATACACCAGCACCAGTGCCTCCATCTATTTTTAATCCATATGTGTGCCGTTTGTAGTTGTGTCAAAAGTTTAAAGTCATAGTAGATAATGTCGAAGAAACGATATACAGTTGTGGACTAAATTGGTTGACAACTAAGCGTTTTATAAAAATTTGCACTGGTAGTGCCAAGTAAAAGACATTGTACGTGCTTGCAACGGGTCACTATATCCCATACACGGATCACTTAACGGGTCACTATATCTTAACAAAAAAAACCTGCCTTAGGTACCAGAACATCTTTTCCATGTTGAAAGAAAAATATTGATTTGACACATATTCTGATCTACTATCAAGGGTCTAGTTGTCTGTTAAGTTCTGTACCTAGTACAAACGATTCATTATGACCAAAGTGTTCCATTCTATCGGCATAGAAGCACATAAATTTTCAATTTTAATTCTATATCACTGTACCTAAAGACGATCTACATTTTTTTTCGATGTTAGGTCATAGATATTAATACATAAGTATGAGTGGCACTCACTAACGTACCACTTAGAGAGTGGTACGTTGATTAGTATTTGTGATTGTGTGTTAAATTTTATTGGTGTAATCGAATAAATTATAGATCTTAAAATATTATAGGATTATAAGATTGTATCGTTCACATGAGGACATCTCAATTTTCTGTATGCCGCAGTACAAAAGATTTAGGCTGATGAGGACTTGTAGAGTATTTGAAAATTGATTTATTTAAATCTATTTCATTATATAGAAACGTTTTTTCTTCGTTCCCTGGTAATAATAATTTTTTTTTAGAAATATATAAAGAAATAGAGGTATTTCAATATTTAAGATAAATATTTTTTGGTAGAAAAATATGCAACTTAATAATTTTGTGGACTCTAGTAATTATTATCAGAGAAGGAGTGATAAAATTTTTACTCAATTATATTAGTTTTTAAATGTATTTTTTATTTTATATATATCTTTTTAACAATTTATCATTTCGCATATAGAAATGCCGGTTACAAAATTATTTATTGCTAAATTGTTTTAAAATTACAAGAAATGTTTTTTTTATATATAACATAATTTATTAATATGCAAAAATGTTAAAATACAGTATTTTTAATGGATTCTTCGTTTCCAGAAATTTTCATCTAGTATTTTTAATTTTTTTAAATAAATACATTTTTACTACAGATATGTTTTTTTAAAACCTCGCTTATTAATTTTATTTAATATAAGGAATTTTAAACAAAAAATCTTCAAAAACTTTTTTTATACGTTCACTAATTATTATTAAGTTTTGTTTTTAGTTTTAAAGTATTATTAATAATGATATAATCCACCGAAAATTTGAGAATAATTAACATTATTTTTATTTTTATTTTTAAATTTTTCTATTATATATATATATATATATTGTGAATCTCTTCATTATTATTTTTATATATGAATATATATGTATAAATTAACGTTTACGAAAAAAATATATCTTTAAACATGGTTTTATTAAATTAATTTATTTTTTATATGTTATATTATAAATATTATAATTATTAATATTTTAACTTATTTTAAGCTTATATAGTTAATTTTTAACCTAATATTGTTTTCAAAAATTTTATTATTATTTTTTTATTTTCAAGTTTTTATTTAGCCGTTGATTTAATTAATTAATACTTTTTTTAAATATAATATATCATTGTTATATGTGCCATATATTTTCGTTAATATATAATATATACATATATATGTTTAAATACATATATATATATATAATCACATATTAAAAAATCATGCTTTTTATTTTGTTCGTATATAGTTCTCTACATGCAACTTAAGATGATTTTTTACCACTAAGTTTTAAATTGTAAATTGCTCTAAAATATCAATATTTATTTTTACGGATTATATATAGTATATATAGGTAAAGCATAGGTAACGCTAGTTCTATGAGATATGAGTACATCTATTCTATTTTAGTATACATGATGTTTGTCATTATAACCGAGTGTATATATATATATATATATTAAAGTAATATAAACATTTTTATAACAAAAAAAAATAAAAATAAAAAATTTGTAAATAAGAAAAAATTATTTAGACTTTGTAATTAAATTAATATTTTTAAATATTTCAAAAATAAAAATTTATTTTAAAATTATATAAATGTAATTTCTTTTTAAATATATCGCATGTAAAAAATATACTCTAATGAATTGATGAATTAATTAATAAGAGAAATTAAGGACAATTAATAATTAATGAAAAAAAAAATAAAAATAAAAATAATTCACACAAATTTCAATATTTAAGGTCTAAACAATAAATGATATATAACACAATCGCTTCAACATTCAATTTACTTCGGCAAATCATAAGTTTGGACGGGTAATGCCTTCGGCGTTATAATTTCATCCTCAAAATCCATATCATCTTCGTGTGCCGCGAAATCACCGATTCCGCCGCTATGCTCGGTAAAGAATTCATTCGGTACAATTTCAACATCTACTGGTGTGCTTGTTGTTGTTGTGTGTTCAATATCAATACCACTCGTACCAGTACTATCACCTGTAGTTCCACTACTGTTACTACCCTTTCCGGAATTATTAGTTTTCGTTTTTGTGTTTTTTATTGCATAGTCGCGTAGCAAATGCGAATACAGCATATCATCGATGTAGAACATGGTTCCCAAATTATAAACGAATACTTCACTTTCGGTGATTTGTGCATTATTCACCTTAGTCAAATTACTGCCCGGATGGCGTGTAATCTTTATATGTCCGCCACCGATCGTTTCAAAGACTTCATTATCTCGAAGATCTCTATCATAGAGACGTCCGCGTACAAAATGGTGCAATAACATTTTTATGCCACGCTGCGAACCCTGCAAAACATATTTTATATAATTAGAAAATATTTATGAAATGTCTACTTATATATCAATGGATATTTTGTGTGAAAGGTATCCATAGTAATTGAATAATATACAAAAAAACAAAATGTTCAATCTACCAAAATTTATTTTCACGACAACAAACTAGACTTCATCGATTGGAATATCTTTATATCGTTTTAGTGGGTTGAATTGGTTATGACCTTCACATTGTTAGTGAATTTTCTTTTATGACCGTAATAGAGTCTTAGCGTCTATCTTAAATCAAATCGTAATCTAGCTTTTGCAACAGCAAGCAGTTAGACGATGTTATTTTAGGTTTTGTACGTTGTTTAGTCGTTCACATCTTAAACACTCTTGCACTCTTTAGCTGATACAAAAAGACTACGTAATAACATATTCACACTGTCTCATTTAGACGCTTTTGCTCATTATGACCACTAATAAGGATGATTTATAATACACAAATCCTTCATATAAATGAGCTCATTATTAATAAATCAGCTCATTTAAGGCGAAAATAGTCAAATGCCTTGAAAATAACCCTCAAATATAAATTTTCCGCAAGGGAAATAACCAAAATTTAAAATAATTGTCATATATTTGATATATAAAATGTAAACAAACAAGCTATTTCATATACATAAATCAGCTTATGGCAATGGAAACGACCAAAGCTGAATTTCATTAACATAAGTAGTGTTAGCTGCAGAGGAAACATGATATTACGCACGATTTTTTAACTATAAATTCTGGATACTTTTCACACAAAACATATATAATAAGTATCTCATGATATCACGCGTGACATTATAATCTTTATAATAAAATTTATGCAAATATTGTATCACCTAACAACACATATGATAATTATCGGAATTGTACTTATGATAATTATCGGAATTATCGGAAAAAATACTTATATGCACATAGGTATACGTATAGTAAATAAATATATAATAACCAAAAACATACTAAGGCTTCATCTGAAAGTCGATCGAAACCGATACGTTCGAAGGCTTTGTCTTCTGGCACGAAAAATGTGTAATTGGCACCTGAGACATGAGGTGCTATTTCCGCATTATTCAAATATCTGAAAAAAAAATATATATAAATATTTTGTGTTTATTTATGTATAACTATCTAATATAATCAGACGTGTATAATTTACAATTAGAATTTTTTTTTTAAAATAATACGATAATAATTGAAACAGAAAAAAAGAGAAAGAGACGGAGGGAGATATAACAAGATTAGATCTTGAGAACTATTTAAATGGGGCTGTATGAACACTGCCAGACTTACTACAGCTCACTGTTATGTGAAATTCACGCAGAGGAGTTTGACATTCCATATAATGCTAATAATAGAAGTGGAAACTAATTGGAAGAACATACGAATAAGCGTTTTTTCTGTGACTATCTGGCTTTGGTTACCCGATGGTTTTTAGATGAGTAAATTTTTGATAGTTTGTTGAACTGTTTATAGGCAAGGAAGAAAGATTTGTTGAATTACGTAAATTCAGCGGAATAGAACAAGATTTTATTTCTTGAGATTTTTGGCTAAGAGTGTGGTAGTAATATTATTATGAATAATAGGAAGTTATGGGAAGTGGAAAGGTATCTGCTGCCTTATCATTGGAAATAATCAACCAACCAGAGATATGCCATATCTACGGTGGGGTGATTAAGCTAATGGACCACTAAAATAATTTTGGTTGCTAATTATTAAAACTTATGGTAGGTCACCAGATTTGCAGAGGAATATCATGACTATGGTGAAGTAATAATACGGAACACGAACTGATAGACGAGAGTACGAGATAGAGGAGTGCTATGTCATGCCAAAACCCGAAAAGAAGTTGTTATGACCAATTAAGTAAGCAAGTAAGTAATATAATAAAAAAAACTTTTTATTACCTTGTAATTTGCGTAAATCGCGGATCACGCTCTAATGCTAAAAATGAGTGTGATAAGAATTGTGCACCAAACCATGGAAAAGCCAGAAGTGGTGGTGTTTCTTTGTCCTTATGCATCTGAAAGTGAAATAAACAAATTATTTTACATAGACATATCAAGCTAATTTGGTGGTAAACGCAGAAGTAATGTACTTAGAATAAAATACTCATACCTGATGAAGTTTCGAAACAACAGCTTCAGAAACAAAAAGTACTTCTGAAATAATAAACACTTGATTACCATTATAAAGCGTATAATCCGACATAATGGAGACATTATTCACAGTTGGGGTAGCTAAAATAAAAAAGGATTTCTTGCACATATAAAAATAATTGAAAATTTAATTAGCATATAAACTTACGTTGACCACGGAAAATTACATTCTCGCCGCCCATCGTGCGCACAACCATTTGATCGACATTTTTAACTTCCGACATCCGTAAGGGTCGTTGCATAGGTAAAAAATGGTTCCGTAAAACTCCTTCTGTAAACTCTTGCACGCTGAACGGATAGAAACCCCAATCGATCGGATGCCAACGCTGGAAAGCATTATCAGCTGGTATAAGTACAGTATATGGTCCATCATCCATTACTTGTGTCAGATTACTTTTTGATAAGAAATGTTGAAACACTTTTGTGCCACTCTTCATGTTGGACAAGAATAACATCAATGGACTAGCTTTGGATTCTTTTAATATGGGCTCGTTCTTAGTGTGCGTATTAGTAGCATTACGCATTTCCAAACGTTGTGGTTCATTATAGCGACTATAATCAAACCAAAATACTAATATAGCGCACATTATATATAATATAAATATAAAAATTTTCTTTTTATTTTTTGACTGCATACTGTATACCACTAATGATGGAGAGAGCTTGAAAACTTATTGCTGCTCTTCCATACAATTTTTTCAAATTACTGGAAATATCTTAAAACAACTCTTTCTGTCAAAATATTTCAAATCTATTTTGACAGAAAACATTAAGATGTGTGATATATATAATAAAATTAAAAAAAAACTAGTTAACTAGTTGTTAACAATGACTCACCTATTTGTTTCTTGTATGTTTCGTTTCGAGTAGGGCGACTTTCGGTCCCCCAAATAACCGTCAATGGCTATGGCTGTTAGGTTTTCGTTTATGCGTAGTTTATGTAGTATTTGGAAGCCATTCAGTAGCCAGACATTGTTGTGAGATTTCTCCAATTTACGAAAAACGATTTTATGTCCATTTGCATTACCATATGTATCTTCATCGCCGTGGTAGTCATCGAACGCTTTGCCAGGTATGAGATGTTCCAACATGAACTCTTTTAATCGTGGCTTTTCAATTGTACGCAAATCCATTTTTGGTATTATCAATGTGAAGGGAATGTCTGCAAAGTTGAAAAATTTTATGGGTATTATGCCAAATACCCATCATTAGCGGTTTTTTGGAAATATTTCTTTTATTCAATTACACGTAAATAATTTTTTTAAAGCGCAAAAACCAAAGGTTGAACTCGTGCCCTAACAAATTACAAGCTCAGAGTCAGTCCTCAACAGGTAGCTCACTCAAAGGCGTACTTGACTTGTATGTTCGCACTTTTTTCTTGAGTTTTGTTAATTTGTTGTAAAACTTCATTAACAAATTCATTTGCTGTTTTATTTCACAATGAAAATCTGCATTCTCTAGATAACATTTGATAGATGTTTTAAACCGAATAAGTAAGATCAATAAATATGGTCTAAATGCTTTGCAACAAAACTCGCATTTCTTGAAAATTGGCAAATGCTAAATCTATCTTTAAGCGTGAAAGAATAGTATAAATGAGAGGTGCTGACTCTCAGCGAAATGTAAATCTATGACCATGATTTTAGGGGGTAATGAACGGCATTTGGTCATTGTGGGTACGGCAAGCAGACTTGGTCATTCTTGGAACCACAATGACTGTTCTTTTGTGCTGCTTACTGACCCTAACTAAACAGAAGACGTAAAGTAAAATTAATAGTTGTATAGTTAGACATAAATATAGTAATAGTTATACTCTAACAACGTCTAGTCTAACTGCTTTGTAGCAAAATTTATATCTTTAGAAAACTGCGACGGTTAAAAATTATTTTTAGTGTGAGAGAATTGAATAAAATTAGGGCTCTGAATGCAAGTCAAAATCTTAGCTATTGAGCACAACCTAACATCAGACATGTTAAAGCTGTTACATACTCTTTTTCTTCAGCAAAGACTTTCTGTGCACTTTCTCGTGATAGCAACCATGGGCGTACCCAGAGCCGAAACCGAAATTATTGTGTACGGCCATGATAGCAATTGCAGAGTTTCTCAGACTTTGTGGTCGATACTGTTTGCAGTTCTAGCTTGAATTAATAATAAACGGTTTCAAGAGTAATGTTCTCTGGGCAACTGGTTAATATCTGAAACTTTTTTAATAAGCTCCGCGTCTATTTTAGAAGATACTTCCAGGCTTCGTTTTATCTTTTTGTTTTGTAATGATTCTTCAACACAATGATTAATATGTATTTGTCATTAGGTGCCTAAAGTCTGGTTTGAATCAAATTGAAGGGCTCTATTTTTATAATTGTACATATGTTTCTGTTTGCTATTAATATATCGTAATTGTTAAGTAAGATAAATATGTTTTTTAAACGAATGAAGTGATCTAAAAGCCTTTTCCTTGAAATAAATTTTGGGCTACTGTGCTATGTTCAGCTCAACTTTTAACAGGCAGTTCATTTTTCGGAAAATGAAGTGTTAGATATATTAATATCACAGGTTTTTGAAATTAGTTTGCATAATTTTGATGACTTATCAGCAGACACATTGTCAGATATCTTCTTCGGGGAATGAATGACTCTCAGATCAATTCGAAATTTAAAAAATTTTTTACCTCATTAAATAGATTAGATTTTGAGAGGGTTGGGAACTATGTGACCATGTCACTACATCCTTTGAGGATTATTGTGACAAAGTCACTTTAGTTCCATAGGCGCGTAGTAGTGAAAAATGCCATTATGTCCCTTAGAGAGATGTGGCTTATTTGCGTTATTAGTGGATAAGCAGCTGATAAGTACTGAAGTCTGAGTCAAACAAAACTATCACAGTGACACAAACTGTGTTCTGCTGTTTTTGCCTTGTAACACCTAGATTCGTTAGATGTTTTTTGACTCCGCAATGTCCAGTGAGAAAATCTATAGCAAGTTGAATGTCTTTTATGTTCAGCATTAGTAGCTCTCTAGTTCTAGCTTTTGAACGATTCGGCATGAATTCTTTAGCTTGTCTGAAGGTAATTACATTATCCCAATCAGACTGAGCTGCTTTTTTCAACCATTCATTACTTTTAAGCTTGAAAAAGCTCCATGAAGGACCGCAAATTGGTTTTGGTAGAATATAATATGAGGCCGCCCCTTTTTGGCCAGTTTATTAGCTTTCACATTTCCCTCAAATCCGCTGTGTCCATATTAAATGGCCCCTGTTCCTTTCCGCAAGATCTTTGAGAAGTTGAAGAAGTTGACTGGAAGATCAGGAGAAGTTTCAACCACTCAATTCCCTCTCTGTGGTAAGGTGTGTGCTTAGGAGTTAGAAGTTATTAATGAACTAATGATCTGAATTTAGAATAAATAATTGAATAAAAAGATAAAGCTTATTATTTGCTATTATAGAAAGCGTAAATTTAGTAAGCGCTAGACCCAGAACTAGCAAAATTTTTTCTCAATTTTTGTTACAACATTTTAAAAATGGGACGTAGATTTTTATTAACAATATTTTACACTAAATATCTTCCATTTCACTTTCCTTTTTTTTTAATGATAACAATTTCTTTGATTTTTAATTTTCACCTACAAAATTAATGATATTACAAATTAAGTCGATACAAGCTTCCTATGTCATATTAATTTTGACTCGAGTGTTTCCATTGTAACGCTTCTTTTAAATGAAAATTACACACACCATCGTTTGGTTCAAGGGCATTTCTCTGCTTCTTCTCCTCATTGTGTTGGGGTTTCGGTTTAAATGTAATTAAAATTCTGGATGTTGTAATACTCATACATTCCGACATGTCCACAACAAGCGACCAACTATGAAATTTAATTACACAGAAGTGCCCGCAGCAATCGCTTTGCCTACATTTCATCCAAAAGTGTGGGTGTGAATGGTAACGCGAGGGAAAATGGCCATTAGCCATTATGAAACATTTTTAACCATTCTCGAACTTTTTTCTCTTGTTGGTTTGCTTTATTTTTATTTTAATTGCAATAATGGGTTTCTGTTCTCGTATATTTGGCATATTGTAGCAGTGATAAAAAAGTGTCACATGTGACTTGCATACCATTGTGAGTAATTATCATGACTAATCTTAAAGTGATGAGTTTTATACGAGAAACGTATGAAAAACTATTAAAGAATGATTTCTATGGTATTTATTATAAATAATTGTGCGCCTGAAATCCCAACTAAAATAATTCTAGACTTTTTATAAATATCTTAGTATCAATGGCAGTTAAAGACTGGAGTTAATGAATAAAATTATAGCACCTTTATTTTTAAAACTTAGGTGGCGAATCAAAGTGGGAAGTATTTTTTTAAGTTCTACATATGTGTCCGAAATGTTTAAAGAGTTGTGTATCAATGCTTGTAGATTACTTATTTATCGACAGCCGAGTATGTGACCATTACTGTCAGCAATGTATGAGTTGACTAACAGGCAGCTGGTTGGTTTGTATTTGCCGAGAGGAGCACAGAGGATCTTCAAGTCTTAACCGACATTTGCAAAAGACCGTCAAACGGTTCCATAGATGAGTATATTCCATATATCACATTGGTCTTTATTTTAGAACAGTAGTTATTGCCACAAACATTAGAATTTAACTTCCTTAAGGTGATACTCAGAAATACATATCATTGGTATTTATGATAATTTCCATCTTTGCACTTTAAGATGCACCTCCATCTATATCCATGCTCAATCCATGCGGAAAAGGAGTTTGAATATTTCCAAGAAAAGGCATGCGACTATGAGGCGACTAAAATTAAGTAGGCACTAGCCAATACTCTTTGGACTATAAATCGTAGCTAGCGAGTTTACTTGTGGCATCCAACCGGAGGTTTAAATCTGGTATCACGGGGAGCAAGACCTATAGGTTTGACTATTTTAACAAATTGAGGTTGACCCCTTCAATGGAAGTATAGTGGTAGCTGTGGTTAAAACTCAAAATTATGTGGGTAAAATTATTGTATTTATTTCATGGACTCGATGTGGAGTTGCATTTACCAACTGGGTGTTGTACCACACAATGTAAGCGTTTGTCAAGATATTGATAAGTAGCAATTAAGACACCACCGAAATCTCTTATTATTCTATCCAGGTAAGGCCTTTAATATACTATAAATATAGCTGACCGAACCTGAACCTCTGCTAATGGTGCTATTAATTATAAGGAAGCAACAGATAAACCTACAAAAACTAGTTCAACTACGTTACAGTATCTCGTTACATTAGTTAGAATCAAAGTCTTATTTAAAATTAACTAAGAGTTTAACTTACAATTAAATAACAATTAAAATACTTTCTAATCTATACGATAGTCTACATCACCGTTAAGCTAAATAGTTGTTTGGTCTTTTCGGCTATAAAAAGTAACCTTTTCTTAGTAGAGCATAACTCTTCAACGACGATGTTATCCTAACATTATAAACTATGTAATGTGACTGAATATCGGCTTTGTTAGAAAGATTATTTGTTACATACTATGTGATTGTCTGGAATTTCTCTAAGTCAAATGACTTAAGTGTGGTTTATGATGTGAAGATACTATAAGGTCTTTACTATAAGATACTAGAAGATCAAAATAATATTGGAGTTAGTGTCAATGAAAAGTGCTATGGAAACATAATTACTGTTATTTGGTGACATGATCCAACGTAAAATGCCAATTTGAACCATTCATAAAGATAATACCAAATTGCATTTTTTCTTTAAGGTAAAATTTAATAATTGGTTTAGTCAAACAAAAATCATAAACATTCGATGGCCTAAAAATTATTCGTGCTATTGGTAAAATAGGTGTACATGCATATATAGGTTTATGTGATAAAGAGGCCAGTATTGAATTTTCGAGGTTTATGCAGTTTCAGTACCGGACTTTTAGAGATCTCTAGAATCGGTTATTTACTTGAAACTATTTTTAAATAAAAATGCTATGGATCAATATAAGCAAAAGTGAAAAAAAGAATAGGATATATATAAAAAAACACAAATGACCCATTACACTTTAAAAAAAATAGTATACGTATTATATATGGTATGTCTATAGTATGGTTTTTCTGCATATATTCCATTATTTCTGTGAAATATTTTGGTACATTCTTATACAAAAAGTTTATTTTAAATAAATAGGGGCTATTTGAAGATAACTATTACATAAAAAGAAAAAAGTTGAAATTATTTTATTAGAAAGTAATGGTTTGCGAACCAGCCAATCGTATAGATAGACGGATAGTCAAGGATAAGAGCCTTAATGGTTAGAAAATTAAAATAAGTATAGAAATTTTCTGCTACTAAAAAATATGGACTTTCGGCTAATTAATTTTATTAAGTATTCAAATTCAAAAATATTTACATAAGTGCTGGTTTTTAGCACTATATTTTGTATAATTGAGTTTTTATATACGAGAACTAAACCAAGGCCATATAGTTATAATTTTAAGCGACAAAGCAGCAGAAGATAGGTTACTGTTGTCAACAATTCCAAATGTAAGATAATTTATATATATATAAATATAATGTCATATAGAATATACAATACATTTTATGTCAAAAACTAATGACTAATTTTAAGTAGTGCGTAATGAAAATATCCTACTATATATTTTTCTTGCTTTATCATTAACTCGAAATAGTATCAGTTGCTTACAAACTGTAGCTGATTGCTAGAAAAAGACTATCAGTACTTTCTAGGCTGATAAATCGTAGCTACACGTTGCCAAAAAATAAATTTTAGATCATACGAATATTTTTTATGACAGTTTTCCTTATATAATGAGAAACTCTTTCCGCCAAGTTATTTCATTTGGTGATCACCTCGTTCCCATTTGCAACTTAACACTTTCACACAAAATATAAAGTATATATCTGAATCTGGTATTACTTAATGAAACCTTACTTGAGAGTTTCACCAAATCCTAACAATCATATTGAGTTTCTACTTAAAGTTTAAAAGCTTTCATACCTAAAGATTTCTATTTCTTATGAGCGTAAATCTCCGCTCCGCTTAGACAGAGCTGGATGGTGGTATTTATTTTGTCATCTATTCCTACTCTATACTTTATTTCAAGTAATTACAAAAGTAAAGAACATCTTGACTTTGGCCTTGACCTTTTCTATGTATATTATGCACTATTCATTTCTCCTCCTATCGGATTTTCTAAATTTCATATCTACTATTCTGCATCTCCTTCAGTATCCAGTTATAAAAGATGTTGATTTTAATAGTAAGCATACATTCGGGGATAGAATTAATACTAGTTTTTGTGATATCAAATCAAAATGAAGATGATTTCAACATTATTAATATAACGCGCTTTCACTCTATCCTTTATTTCTCTGTGTAAGATAACCCAGAAAAAAATTGTAAGACTTTTTAGAAATTTCACTGTTGTTAACGAGTTTCTTTTCACACAGCCGTTTATTTACAAGTTCTCCGCTAAAAACCTGAAACTATCCACACTTGCATCTTTCTCAACCTTAAACCTCGCACACAGGCACCAATAATCTTGAATTTAAATGAAGTTTTTACATCGAATAATCATCGTCGATTAATAATCATGTATGGGAACATAATTTCTATACACTTTGTGTCAAACAATAAGTGCAAAACTATTTTTACGACTCATGGACTTATAGACTATATCAAATTTAACTTGGTTCTTCTATTCTGAAAACAATTTAGTAAAGAAAGTTCAATCATCGCAAAACTATCGCATGAGGTTTATCTCATTGTTTAACTGTGAGCAAGAATAAAATTAAATGAATTGATGTGGGAATCAATTCCTAACTAGATCCGCGTTTTAAGCTAAACTTCACGGATCTGAAGTAAATTTAGGACTTGCATTAATCAGTTCCCAACATATTGTAGTAGCATTATCTCTAACGAGCCCTTCAGATCTAATCAATGCTTTGTAATAACTTTGATAAATGTTAGAATCTGGCAAACGTTAATGGTGAAAATATCGCCTACTGTGTTGAAGAGCGGAGCATCCAATCGCTTAAGCCTGTACGTAGATACAACAGGTGTTCTATTGTCTTTTCTACGTAGGCTGGTAGACATGTAACATACTACAGTGGATACGACAAGCTAAGTCGAGCTTGGTCATATGTCGTTCAATAGCCCAGTGCCTTGTTAGAATAGATGTGAACTTAGATACTTCTGTCTTGCTTCTGTGTACCAAGCCAGGGGTTCTACGAGTAAAATAACCAAGTAGCCCTTTTTTGCCTGTTTCTGTAAAATTTTTATTTCTCGGATTTTTTAAAACCCTTTAGAAAGACGAAATCAGTAAAGTGGATGAACGTTGGAATAAGCGGATTAAATGATAACAGAAGTGCCATTTTAAGAACTTTGAAACCTATTAAATAATATATGAAGTATATTAGTAATTTTGAGGGAGAGAAAATTTCATTAATTGAACTTATTACTTAATCCAGGGACTGCAGATATTTCGAAGTAAGAGAAGTAATATTTTAGTAAGAGAAGTAGGACACAATAATATGAGTAGGAAAGAGAAGTAGATAAGAAGGAAGCGTAAAAATTGATAGGAGTAGTCCGTTTCAAAGTCTCAATATTTATTAACTGACCATTTATCATTTTGTTTATTTAATTTTTTAAATATAAAAACTATTTAATTGCTTTCCTTAAAGTCACTATTAGTCACTATCAGCATAAGTGACATGCGAGAGACATGTCATATACAGGAGACATAACTTAAATTTATCTAACATATGTCTTTGAACACTTACCCTTTTTTGACTTATAACCGTATGACTCCAGTACTGGTAGGCCATCCTCCACGAAATGGCGCACCTGTTGCCACTTTTCATTGTCATCACTTTCAGCAGCAGCAGTAGCAACGGCAGCAACGGCAGTGGGAGTCGTAGCGGGGGTCGCAGCACTGTCACTTGTGTTTTTATCGCTGTGTGCTGTTGACAACAAGAAATTCGCATCCGGGATTATTTTGCTTTCGATTAGTTTTGAGTTTCTCAGTGTTGGATCTATTTGCATGGCAGATGCTGTTGAGTCACCGATACCGCTGTCGCCGCCATTAATTGTGGAAATTGCTGTTGCTGCCGTTAGGGTAGACAACAGCACAGTTGCGGTTAGCGGCAGGAGCTGCAACATTTTGTTGACGTGCATTTTTAATGGCAACAAATCACAGTGTGGAACTGATTGCTGCCTTGGGTTTCTCTGACTAATTTGTTTTTATAGTTTTTTTTTGCACTTTTATTGAATAATTTTTATTTTAATTTCGTTCTTCAATAACTTTTTCATAAATATTCACTTTTTCGCGTTTTTGAAATTTTTTAGAAAAAGCTTTTTAAATTTAATTAAATTTTTTTTTTATGGCACAGTAATTTTGGCTTTCATTGCGCTGGATTTTCGATTTCTGATAGTCTTGATGGGTTGAATTAGGGTTTTTTATTATTTAAATAATTTTCACATTATTTCTATTTAGTATTTTAACTGAATTTTTCTATTTTGATATCGAATATTGTTTCACTTTTGGCTTTGTGGCAGTTTTGAATATTTATTTTAATTTTGATCTTATGTGAACTTTCTAACGAATTGAATAAAAATAATTTGCTTTATTAATTTTAATCATTTTATATATTTTTTTGCTTGACATTGTGTGAAATCAATATTATTCATTATTGTGTGACTAATGTCATTTTATGCTCTAAAAACATTACTCACACATATCGCTTAAAAGGACAATTACGTCTAATCAAATGTTAAATGTTATGTTCATTTAAAAAAATTGCTTAATTCAATTTAAATTAAGTAGCTAAATGACAGTTTATACGAGTCTACTAAGACTTTCATGTAATCCACATAGAATGCAGGAAGCGCAAAGAAAGTATTTCGTATTGCGCTTTTTCAGCTTCACATTATAAATATTTATTTAGTTTATTTTTTTTAATTTTCTATTACTTGTATTTAATTTACTTAAACATGTAAATTTTACACTATTAGTTTAAGTCGGTATATTTTATAAATGAAATTTTTTAAGAACTAACTTTCTATATAGATTCGTTCTCGTCTGTATAGCTTGTCAATCATTGCTTTTCAAGCATTAATCAATATGTTTTATAATCAATCAGTTTGAATAGATAACTTTATTGAAACTGTGTCAAAAAAACTGAGCTAACTATCAAAAAGATTTTGTCTAAGATATAATATCATGTTTCCACCGATCTCATTTAAGCAGTTTTGCTCATTAAGGTCGGTAATCAAAATAATTTACTATACAAATAGCTTTCATATAAATGTGCTCATTATAAAGAAATCTTTAAATATAATCATTATAAAGAAAGCTTTAAAATAATTCTTCCACAAGAAATTTTATCAAAATATTTGTCATATATTTAAATATAAAATGTAAACAAACAAGCTATTTCGCATACATAAATCAGCTTATGCCAATGAAAACGACCAAATCTTAATTTCTTCAACATAAGTAATTTTAGTTGCAGTGAAAACATGATACAAAGAGCTTTCATATAAATGAGCTCATTATAAATAAATTAACTGATTAAAGGTGTAAACTGTCGAATGCACCGCTTTAAAATAAATTTCCCACAAGGGAAATAACCAAAATAAGAAATATTTGTCATATATTTAAATATAAAATGTAAACACACACGCTATTTCATATGCTTAAATCATCTTGTGCCAATGGAAACGACCAAATTTTATTTTCATCAACATCAGTAATTTTAGCTGCAGTGGAAACATGATATTAGTCTATTTCGAACAGTTTCGAATATAATCTCAATGTGTCTGTCGCTATCATACGAATGTGGTAAATATAATCTTTGTGTTAGAGACTTTCATCAATAATTATTTTGTTTCTTTTGTTTCTTCCCAATTGGAAAAGTCATATCAATTGTCCAAAATGCCTTGTACAGGATTAAATAATTATGGACTACTTTAAATATTTTTGCAATAAGATCGTAACGAATCAAATAAAATCAAAATTTGCAATATATCTTTTATTTCTATTCTTTGGAAAAAGATTGTACAATTGACTAAAATGTTTAGTTTAAAATTAATCCATTAGAGGCGATTTCAAATATAATCCAAAGTAACGGCTTTGCATATCACGCATAAGTTATAAGCTTCAAATTTTTATCATTAATAAATGTCGTAGATATGTTTTGGCAAAGTAACAACAAACGCTTTATTGGCTATAATTATAGACGAACCGTTAGAAATCGAAGTTATGGGAATAATATGTAAATGGTAGAAATGACTTAAATATTGCTTAAATCTCTGCTGAATGGTTAGGATCCATTTACGAGGAACAACTGAAGTGTGAATAGTAGAATAGGTTGGATATAAGGTTTTTGATATAATACATTTAGTTCAGAAGACAGAAATAAAGATCCTTTATATATAAAGGGTCCTTAATTCAGCTTTGTGCTCTTATCAACAATGATGTGTGATCTTATGCTACCAAAATGATTATAAAGATCATAGATAATGTAGAAAAGAACAAAGTTTATTATGGACTACTCCATAAATCAAGTCTCATTCTGATATATACTGAACTTTCAGTACCGATACCATAGTCTTGAGTAGGTTTCCTTTCAGTTGAAGCAGCTAATTACTATGTTTTATGTCCAAACTAGTCGAATTTAGTCGTGCAGTCAAACAAAAATTTTCATCTAATCAGACTATCGAACTATTGATGACTTTTATTTTTGTTTAATGATCAGTTTAATCATTGTGAGTGGAACACCATTGTCCGAAAAGAGAATGAGCATCACTTTGTCTGCTCTCTGAGGCAGAGAATTGTTGAAGACAACAATCTTTATTGTCATAGACTATGTAACTATTGATGAGTTTTAGGTTTAATTTCAGAGAGCACTCTGCCTGCTTTCGCAAGCTCGTTAGCCGGTTTTTAGGAGCTTGACAAGTCGACTTAAATCATAGAGATATACTTTATATTCTTAGGTTACTAAGAATGATGATGAAGTGCTTACTAGACATTAGATAGTAGCATAATAGTTCGAGAAGATTGTGACATTTTTCTTGTGGTTGCTTAAGACCTATTCTGCTATATATCGTATTACTAACAAGCGAAATATTAATAATAATTTTAAAAAATATTTTCAAATACTAAGTCGAATATTGGTGGGTAACTGTTATAAATATAATTATGCAAGACAATATACAATGAGGTGGTCAATCAACAACTGCGCCCTCTGTTTTGAGTTTTCGGTCACACTTTTTGGATTACGACCTTACCACTCATTCTTGGATTGTTTGCAATCCATCAAAGTCGTTGAACTATAGAATTTCGCAGAGTATTCAATATTTATTCACTTGTACTTAATCTTTAATGATATACTCACTTTCTTAAAGGATTGACTATTTACTTAACAAATTTTTATCTTACTTTATTTGTACGGAGGAGCACAATAGATCTCCAGGTCGCAGCAAAAAATCCTCTAACTGGATACTTGTATGCTGTACTCAGTAATATCTATGTTTTTATTTTTTCCCGAATCAATGTAAGTGTGTTAAAAACATTTATAGATAAATATATAGTTAATTTAATTACTGGGAAATTTGATGGAGATAAGTAATCTCAAGTAAATACATTTAAGAGCGCTTTAGATATATACATTTTTATGGATAAATTAATATCCACAGTATTTCAAATTCATTCCTCATATTGATTTCGAAAATATTAAAATACATGTACGAGTAAAATGACATCAATCCATTTTTGAAAAGTTGTAGTATCTCATATATTGCATCACTTACTATATAATGACCGAGTTTATGCAATCCGCTGCCAATAAAGCAAATGTATTTGCAAAAATTAAATTTTTTTTTATGAAAATTTCTTTTTCTTAGCAAAATTTATTCGCATTCCAAAATGCAGTGAAACGAGTTTGTATCTTTGGCTTTCTTTTTTAAGAAGAAAATAAATAAAAAGGTGAAAAAATTGTGCAAAGAAAAGAAATGTTCACTTTTAGTTGATTATATATTTAGTTTAATTCATAGCTGAGCAATGTCCGTCCATGTTAGGTAATTCAATGGAAAACTGTAGGTATTTTGCCTCGTTAACATTTTTCACAATTCCATTTAAAAATGTTTAAATTTACTTATATGTGGCACGTGATAGATGGCTTTAAAATCCGTAGCCAATGGATCGATATGCGAAAGAAAATTTTTAAATAAGTTTGAAAAATAGTCAATTTTTTGTAAATATAATTAAATTAAGACTATTTAATATAGAAGAAATAATAAATAACGTATCTGCCACTGTTTATATAACTGTCACTGTTCTAGATCCGAAAGGACTGGCATTATAACAATTCTTATAATAGCGCCATCTATGAGTTAATGCCGGAAGGTAAGAGAAACAGTAAGAGAATATTATATACTCCTTAATAACGTAAATAATGCGCAAAAACTTTGGAAATGCCAAAAAAATATAAACGAAATCTATTTTTAATTTGGACGTGGACTTTAAAATAAAACGCTGGGTCGACTATTGTTTTGTGTACCATTTGACCATGTCTTGTTGCATATGAACCGATTAGATACATATACATTTAATGCTGCTAGTAAAATGGGTAGAAGTTTTTCAGTCCCTTAAATCCAGTACACAAATTTTTCATTTGTGAGGTGAGTTCTGTGACGGTCATGAGAACCCTGAATAGTAAGATGATGACACAGCACCTTCAGTAAAAATGTTTTACAATGCACAAAACATGGAAAAAGTTTAAAACATTCTTTACATAACATTCTTGTGAGATTCATGGAAGGTAATACTGGTATACTGAATAGTACAGCTTATCCGATCCCTTAAACGCTTAAACTCCTTTGCCTACATGCCTAACGGGAATGAATAGAATGATTGTAGATCTCGCACACAAATTGTTTATTTATTTGGTGAATTCTGTAATGGTCTTGAAGACCCTGAAGAGTAAGATGATGACACAGCACCTTCAGTAAAAATGTTTTACAATGAACAAGGTTAGGTTAGCTTATACTGGAGATTCCTAGGGGATTTACTTAGGCCTATTGGCTCATTGTATTATCATGTATATAAGAATAACTCAGGGCTTACAATGAACAAAATATCGAAAGAGTTAAAGAGCTGTGAGGAGCTGTGAGGAGCTGTTTTGATCAAAGATTTGTGTAATTAAACGAAGTGTCTGTGCGTATTTCGTGCTACACACTTTAACGGACAACCAAAAAAATCGAAAGAACTAAAGCCTTCTTTTC